TATCGGCTGAGATAGCCCCGCTGTTAGAAATGCACATTTCAATTAAAGAACTGAAGACATCAGAAAATGAACAATATGTATAGTATCAAAGCAATCGGACTTACAGTTTTTAACAAGAAGTCGAAAATGACTAAAATATTCACCAAAATTAGAGAATTAAAGATATCATTACAAAATGAACAAATCTGAGAGAGATCCACATGTAGTACCTATATATGTAATATCAAAGCATTTGACTTGCGGTTTTTAACAAGAAGTCGAAAATATCACTTTTTACCAAAAATGACAAAAATATTCACCAAAATTAGAGAATTGAAGATATCAACATGAAATGAACAAACCTAAGAGAGGTCTACCCAAGGTAGATATACACCAAGTATCAAAGAAGAAGTCGAAAAAGTAAAACATTGACACTGACGACGACGACGGACAGTCACTCATATGATAAGCTCCGCTCGACAAAGTCAACAGCGGAGCTAAAAAAAGATGCCTGCCAGTCGACCATCTTTGATCCAATTGCGAAATAAATAGTCATGGACATGTATCTTAACATGTATAATATATGTACCAAGTTTGAATGAAAACTGACAAAGCATGTCCAAAATACAACATTTTCAAAAAACAAGATGGCTGCCAGTCGGCCATTTTGAATCGAATTGCTAAACCACTGCATGTGCACATGTCCCACATAATGTACGAGGCACATGCAAAGAATGAACGGAATCTGTCTAAGGGATTCCGAGATGCAAATTATAAGTCAGTTTCCGGACTAATAAAAATTAAAACAATGCAGTATGCCACTAAGATTAATTACACATAAAGTTGTATCTACTTACACTTTCAGCTTTTACTTCACTTGAACCCTATAAGAATGAAATAGAAATTATTTAATTTCATAACAGTATCATACACTACAAAGTGTGATGAATAAATATTTAGAGTTTCAGTTACTCTTAGTTTCCTGCAAAAATATTTCCATTGTTGCATCAATAATCTCCACAAAAAAAAACAGTACAATGGTTTGAAATAAAAAAAATCATTTGAAATGTTTAGAATGAGCCAAACAGACCAAACATTAACACAGACAAGTGGCCAATGAGGGTGCTTCACAAATATCTGATAAAAAGTCTATGCTTACAAACTCAGCAGCTATAACTTCAGTTGCAGCTTTTATTTCATTTTCTAAACTCTTTCTCATGTCTTCAGCATCTTCAATCTGAAACAATAGTTTCAAGAATATTAGTGGACATGTTTCATTTTTAACCAGTCTAGTAAAAATGAAATCCTAACAATAGACAGTACAATTCTAATTTGCTCATCTTTTGATGATATTGAAGACCAAACAAGCTTACCTTTGACATGATATCAGGTATTAGATCTTTCAACTCTCCCATTTCTTTTTGGTCAGCCACCAAAGGATCATCATCACTTGCTTTTTCTGCAATACAAAATTGGAATTGTCTATCTTTACATTGTATATAACCAAGATGAGACTGCACCACACTGCTCTACTATCTACCGTTAATACAATATCAAGCACTGCACCACACTGCTCTACTATCTACCCCTGATACAATATCAAACACTGCACCACAGTACTCTCCAATGCCCATCCAAATTTGAAATTAGTATGAAGCATCCTTTTTTTTTTACATTACCCTGTATTTACCTTTGCCCTTTCCTTTTTCACTTTCTTCAATTCTCTTTGTTAACATCACCATTCTGTCTTCAATACCCTTTTTGGCTGCTTTAAAATGCTATGAGTTGAAGAGATACAGATATCCAGTTATAAATGATAAACCCCGATTCAAAAGATTTTGAATAGAGTAGCAGTCACATGCATTTAACCATGTTTGTTGGTCAGTTGTGTATATAAAGACCCAATAAATTATTGTATGTGTAGTGCATGCATTATTCAGTATTGGTCATCCATATCAATTTATGAACAATTGAAAAATAATCAATATTCCTACCTCTATTGCTGAATCAAATGATTTGTCAAACGAATGTGCAAGACCCAATTGATAATTACTACCAAGTTAAGGTAAACAATATTTCTCAGTATTCCTTGAAAAGAACATTCTGGTCAATTTGAATGTACCTGCCAGCAAATCATTACCAACTCTGACATTTATACAAATCTACATTTACTACAACAGAAGCCTTAAAGATTGATTGGGAATCAATAGTTAACTATTTGGAATTGAGCAGAAATATATACTCAATATATACACGTACTCTGACCTTACGAGCAAAAATTGCCTATTACCAACCACTGCCGTCACAATTACAGATCATCAATGTAACTGGATGCTGTGACAGTAGGCTTTCACTCAGACGAATTTCATCTGCGGAAAAATTTAAAACTACCACATCGGTAGGATGAAAGGATACGTTTCTGCAAGAAGTCTGCTTTCTGGTGATAATTGCTTCATTTGTAAATTTAAACAGTCTTTAAAGTCTCCAACACTTTGCCCATATTGCTCAGTTTCCAGTCCCAATTCCCCTAGTTTCAAGTAGCATTGCGCCACCCGAAGATCAGCTTCTTTGCCTTGTTGCCTGCAAATAAAATTTAGTTAACAGGTAACAGTTAACAGTTAACAGTTTTTTTCACTAATCTAAGTTAGCCTTTACAGTGGTGTTGAGAGGAATTCCGACAGTCAGCGAGATAGATGGCACTGTTTGATGGCTGCTGTGTGGGATTCACTATTTCATATGGAAGTCAACATAATGATTAGCATATCAGCAGTGTTCTCCACAAGGGGTTTTAGGCGGGCGGCCTGCCCATCAAGTTTTACGGTCGCCCAGTAACTCTCAACACCCGCCCACCAACGTACATCCAGCTGAAATTATTTGTAAAAAGCTTGCATTGTTCTTCCCAAGCCTAAACAAAAGAGTAGTTGCCCAACCCTTTATTTTGCTATTGTTTCAACAGTCCAAACATAAACAATGTCCATTGGAAGTCTGCAAGCAGTTATCAAGTGTATTCATGGCAATGTGTCAATCGCTTGACTTCATTGTCGCCAGACGTTGTTGCCACTTATTGCTCACGATATGCAACTACAGTGGTTTCAATTTACAGCTGTATTTTT